AAAATATTATGTGTCTTTGTTTTAGTCCGTTAGTGTCAGTAAAGGTGCGTCATGACATCGAGGTAGAAGTATATTCTGGCGCTTTATTGTTGCTCAAAGCTGTTTGACTTCCTGAAGGAAATATTTAGTTTTCGTTCTCATGTTTTACTTTGTCATAGTGTGTCTTTTATGCATCTGTTTTGAGTTAATATTTAACACAAATTGTATTTCAGTCATCGTGTATAAAATTTGTTTTGTTTGTTTTTAAACCAGAACAAAACAAAATAAAAACAAAAGCAGCAAATTATATGTGTAAGAAGTTGTCTACTTTGGAAACTCTTTATAAAATAATTCCTTCGATATAAAAAAACATGTAATGAAAAAACATTTTTAAACGACAGGTTCCTTGTGCAGTAGTAAAAAGGATGTTCAGCTCAAACAATATTGTTGTAGAGGCTTTTTTATTGTATTGATTTGATATTTATCTGAACGTTTATGTTATCCTTATACCAACTTGCATTCCGTGTCTATTGCGGTATGTAGACGTCTGACTTTCTCCTCAAGGTACGTTTTCATCCTATTTTGAAAAGAAAAAAAAAGTGAAATTGTATAGGTGTAACACCCCCATAAAAATACATAAAGCAAGACATCCTAGTTTTAACGTCCTTTTCGAAAAGACCTAGCCAAACATAAAATTCGTGTAAAGTACCTTTCCCAAGAACACAACGTCGAACCAAGCAGAAGCTCAAACCCCTCCGAACCCATAATCTCACGATTACAGTTCCAGAAGCTTAACCACTAGGCTGCTGACGCCGTAGTGATTTTGTAATTAATCCAAATAACGTCTTGGTGCTATTAAGAACACTTACGCTCCGAATGGGGTTGGGTGGGGGGTGGCAGGTGCTCGGTGTGGTTTGCTGTTTCTATTTCCTATCAAACACCTATCTGCTTTATCTTAAGTCTCCGGTTTTTTTATTTGTTAATCTTTTGTAACCCCTCTAATATATTGCACTTATAGGACCCAATGGTGTAGCAAGTGCCGTGAAACTCTAACTAAAGCTAAAAAAAAAGCCAACAATCCCCAGCTTAAGGTCAGCGACATCGGGAGCCAAACCTGGATCTTATGCATTTGTCAAGTTATGATGACTATGTTTTGTGGAGAACAATAAACAAACTAATTTATAAATAAACTCAATAGCTCCTAATTGACGTTTAGACAAGTATTGCACAAAGCCCTTCATATGCGGCATTAAGACATTAATTTGAGATCTGTGGATGAGTATCGTATCAGAGTGCCCACCGTAAAGTTAAAAAAAAATGGGTGAGAGCAGAGTGCTTAAATTTTCTTCCTACGCCCCAAAAGTTTGGAATCCCCTCCCAAAAGTAAAGTCTAAAGACACATTTGTTCGACACTATCGCTAGTAGATTTTTGTATGCAAGAATGTGTCTGGGAACTGTACATGTGTTTTTGTTGTTGCTGTTGTTGTTGTTGTTGTTGTTGTTGTTGTTGTTGTTGTTGTTGTTGTTGTTGTTAGGTTGTCTCATAGTGTACATCTTCTGTCATTTGAGTTGAATGGTGGATGGTTGGCGGGTGCTCTGGTGTGGTTTGTTCCTTCTCTCCAATCAAACATCTATGGTCATTATCTCCCCTTCTTCTTTTTATGTTTGTTGTTCTCTTGTAACACCTCAAATCTTCTGGTGCTCTTATGACCTTATGCAGGTGCGAGCGCCGTAAAACCTCTACTAAGCAGACAACACAAAAAAGATATTGCAGAGAAGACAGGCAGTTGACACGTCGTAGTTTTCAGAAACGCCGTAAAACCTCTTCTAAAACTAAAACTCAGTTGAATGGAAATTCTGGGATGTGCAGTGCCTGAAGCCTTCTTGGAATTAGAAGCCAAGTAAATTATGTTGATCATGTTTGTTAATATTTTCATTATTGTTAATTGCCCACGTCACCCATCTGTTCAAGCTGTCTATTTTAAATGAGCTACTGTTGGTCAACCTCTGTCTCTTTGCCTTCTATTTTTCGGTGAGGTCAAGATATTCAAGGCCTCGTGGTATATTAACTTGTGAATGTTTTGTTTCTCTTTTTCTTCAGGTTTTCCCATCAGCCCCAGTAATGACGCTCCACCTCGCATCCCCCTTCATTCTCCTATTCACGATAGCTTATTCCCTCACTTCCGCCGTCCAAGGACTCGAACCTCTGCCCCCAGCGTCTCTGTCGGACTCTCCGGCCAGCGGGGCTGACGTGCCCCCTCTCCCCTCATCTGCAGCGACGAACGCCGCCGTGGACAAAGAATGGCTGCGTCAGAAGCTGGAAGAAGGACAATTTCTACCACAACAGGACAAACGATGGGGAGGTATCAATTCTTGGATGACGCACCGTCTCGGCGGACCCTCCGAGAGCGATTCGAGCCAGGACTCTCTGGATAAACAACTGCTCGTGAACAACGTCCAGAACTACGATGACTCGAGTAAGAGGAAGTGGTCGAAATTCTCGTCTTGGGGGAAGCGCGACGCTTCGGAGGAAACGCCTGAAGGTGGTGAGGGTGAAGACGGACTCGGCGCTGTAAAGAAGTGGAAGAATATGGCGGTGTGGGGGAAACGGGCAGAAGATGGTTTAGACAAGAGATGGAAGCAGATGGCCACTTGGGGCAAGAGAGAAGACGGTGATGTTTTAGGGTTGGGGACGGACAAGAGATGGAAACAAATGGCCTCGTGGGGTAAACGATTAGATGATTCTGACCGAGATAAGAAATGGAAACAAATGTCTGTTTGGGGAAAGAGGGAGGATAACGGGGAACCACTGGACAAAAAGTGGAAACAAATGAGTGTGTGGGGGAAGAGAGATACTTTAGATGACCCGGAGAAAAGATGGAAGCAGATGGCAGTCTGGGGCAAAAGGCAAGGTTTAGATGACAGAAACGATAAAAGATGGAAGCAGATGGCGACTTGGGGCAAAAGAAACTCCTCAGAAAACTATGATAAGAGGTGGAAACAAATGTCTGTCTGGGGCAAGAGAGATGGGGATGGTGACTTAGATAAGCGGTGGAAGCAGATGTCCGTTTGGGGGAAGAGGAATGGGGATGGCGACTTAGATAAACGGTGGAAACAAATGTCAGTTTGGGGGAAACGGGATGGGGATGAAGATGTTGAAAAGAGATGGAAACAAATGTCCGTTTGGGGGAAGAGGGATGGAGATGCTGACTTAGATAAGCGGTGGAAACAAATGTCTGTTTGGGGAAAGAGAGACGAAGATGGCAACCTAGATAAACGGTGGAAACAAATGTCCGTTTGGGGGAAGAGAGATGAGGATGGTAACTTAGATAAACGGTGGAAACAGATGTCCGTTTGGGGAAAGAGGGATGGAGATGGCAACTTAGATAAACGGTGGAAGCAAATGTCCGTTTGGGGGAAGAGAGACGAAGATGGCAACTTAGATAAAAGGTGGAAACAAATGTCCGTTTGGGGTAAAAGAGATGAAGATGGCAACTTAGATAAACGGTGGAAGCAGATGTCCGTTTGGGGAAAGAGGGATGGAGATGGCAACTTAGATAAACGGTGGAAGCAAATGTCCGTTTGGGGGAAGAGAGACGAGAATGGCAACTTAGATAAACGGTGGAAACAAATGTCTGTTTGGGGAAAGAGAGACGATGACATAGGGGACTTAGATAAAAGATGGAAACAAATGTCGGTTTGGGGAAAACGCAATGGGGCTGATGTTGGTGGTGATAATTTGGACAAGAGGTGGAAACAAATGTCTGTGTGGGGCAAGAGGTTACAAGACCTGGATTCAAACAAAAAGTGGGCTCAAATGTCAAGCTGGGGGAAGCGGGGGTTTGTGGGAGATGTAAGCGACGTCGATAGCTTAGTTAACAAGAGATGGAAGCAGATAGCCGCATGGGGCAAACGACTGAGCCAGGACGACGATCTCCAGAAAAAGTGGAAACAAATGCCTGTTTGGGGGAAGAGAGGCGATACCAACGACGTCGACGATAAGAGATGGCGAGAAATGGCTGTTTGGGGGAAGAGAAACTCGGAAAATAACGACAACCGAAACATCGTAAATGAAGGGAGCGACGAAAACACTGCGGACAAGCGATGGAAACAGATGTCAGTATGGGGGAAAAGGGATGCCGGGACGGCTCCAGCCGCCGTCATGGAAGCACCATCTCCAGTGTCATCATCATCATCATCCTCATCATCATCACCAACATCTTCCTTATCGTCCCCCTCATTATCAGCCTCAGCCGCAGAAGCAGCAGCTGCTGCAGGGGCGCCGCGCGTGGACAAGAGGTGGCCCGATAGCTCCGTCTGGGGCAAGAGAACGTACAGGCACATCAGGAACTGGCGAGACATGGACATGTGGGGCAAGAGGCCCAGCTGGTCGAGGACAGGCTTCACCAGCTGGGGAAAACGCTCTGGGGCCGCTGTGGACCTGGCTCAGTTCAAAGACTATCTCCTAAACAGCTCCCAGCAACAGCAACTGCAACAGCAGCAGCAGCCGTTGATAGGTGAGTCGTCAACATAATCATAAAAATGAAAAATAAAAATGACGAGGATGATATGATGATGATGATTTTTTTGTTTTCTTTAATGTGCCTGGTGGACTTCACGAAGAAATCTTTGAGCGAGAGTGAAGCTCATTTTCGGCACCATTGTCATTATACTTAGAGGCACCTCTACTCGTCCAAATGACTCCATTCGAATTGCAATTTTTCCTGGACATTCAAACATGATATGTTTGACATCCTCCTTTTCATGGCCGTATCTTCGGCAACGTGGGCTGAACTCTTCATTTACAATAATGATGATGATGATGATGATGATGATGATGATGATGACGATGATGATGATGATGAGGATGAGGATGAGGATGATGATTATGATGATGATGATGATTATGATGATGATGATGATGATGATGATGATGATGATGATGATGATGACGATGACGATGATGATGAAATTTATTTTTAAAATTAATACTAGTAATGATACTAATAATGATAATAACAATTATGGTAATAAAATTGAAAATGATTATTTTAATTGTTGTCGTTATACTAGTAATTATAAACAATTGTAAGAATGATGATAATTATAATTATAATAATTATGATCATTGTTATTATCCTTATTATTATCATATTATTATTATTATTATTATTATTATTATTATTATCATTATTATCATTATTATTATTGTTATTATTAATGGTCAATCCCTTATAAGTATAAGCTCTGAGAACTTTGCATCTATGACTGGATTACGGGACAGTAACAATTGACACAAACAAAACAAACTAAATGAACTTTTCATTTTAAAAATAATGTTCCAACACCCATCTGCCCGTTTTGTTCGTCTTATTATCGTTGTCGTTGGGGTCGGGTTCCTATTCTTTTTTTTTGTGTGTCTTTTTTTCAATGAATTTACCTTTGTTTGTTTATTTGTTGATGTTCCAAGGGACAGCTGTCTGTTTGTTTGTTCTGTAGTTCTTGTTGTTTTTTTTTATAAGGCAGTGTTACTTTTTATTTGGTGCACCGTGGGGGCGGGGGGGGGAAGGGGGGAGGCGGGAGGGGGGCTTCAGTATGGATAAAATTGTCGATGAGACAAAATTAGTTGTGGTGGGGTTTTTTGTCCTTTATAAGAGTGCAAATTCACTTTCTGGTAGGACCAAAAGAAGGAGATGACAAAAGTTAGAAAGATACTGAGGAGGGAAAGGAAGTAAGGAGAGAGAGAGAGAGAGAGAGACGAAAAGAAAACAGAAAGGGAAAGAATGGAAATACCTCAGCTGTTATCAAGAGGGGGAATTTAGGTTACAAAGGCGGCTTATTTCCAGAGTATCCAACCACTAATTACCGCGTCTTACTCAAGACATAATATCACACACATACCCACAATTTCTCGAGCTCACTATACGTACGTGAATGCCTTGCGGAAGTATTTTGGGTTGTTGTTTTTTTACTCGGGGTCATTGAGTACTGTACCAGTACAGACGCCTACGAGTGTGTGGTGAAACAGCTAGGTTTTCAACTATCGCAGACAGAGCACTTTATAATTAAAAGTCCCATGTGGGAGGTTTATTTCATCGAGTATTTATGTCTGTCTGCCGGACTGGCACTGGCAGGAAGGTTCGAAGCAGACCGCCTAAGTCATTTGAAAGGACCAAATGAAAAACAACCTCATTGATGATGTCCATCAAAGATTTACAATTGCATGGACTGCTTTTGGAAAATTAAAAGGCATTTGGAATCCTAGAATCATTTCACTGAAGACTGGTTAAAATATTATACCGGGTGTCTTAAAAAAGGACACATTTTAAGGAAAATGGCTCGATCATCTTTAAACCCATTTATTCAACGAAAGTTTGAGGAAATAAAATTCAACTAGGAAGACAGTACATCTGTCAATGAGAACAAAAAATCAATTACCAAGTTTTAAAAATTTTAACCACAATTGAGTGAAACAAATTCATAAAAACCAATCATACAGTTCTATTTCAAGTAGTCACTATTTGCGCATTGAAGAACAAATTTATACAAAATTCATATTGCCAAAAATACCTAGGGAAGTAATGGCAATTAAAATATCTAGTGGTTGACCATTTCTCCCCAAACAAGCTCCAATACGCGAATCTGAACATGTTGAATAATCGCGTGGCAGAATGTATCGATTCTTTGGGCGTCCTGCTCAACATTGAGTTTCAATTGTTCTTGGGTGGTTGGCGGGTGCTCTGGTGTAGTTTTCTTCTTCTTTCATATAAAAAATATATCGTCTTTATCTCCCCTCCTTCTTTTCTTGTGTTTGTTACTCTCTTGTAACACCTCTAATCTTCGGCACTTATATGACCTAATTGTGTTGCAAGTGACGTAAAACACGTACTAAAACAAGTGAGTTTGAATTGTTCAGTCGTGTGTGGCTCATTGCCGTAGATTCTCTCTCTTTCTAAAATTCCTAAAAGTAATAATTGAAAGGTCATACATTTTGGGGAATATGGTGTCCATTCGTTTGTAAACTTCCGGCTTGTAAGGCGTTCCCCAAACCTATCTTACAGCCACACAAGGGCCACTATAGACATCAGGAGTGTGGCGTCCATCAGGTATTTACAACAAAACACCTTCTCCTCCTCAAACTTCTCAACAACTTTTTCAGCATTGTCAGATAGCCATCTAATGTGGCTGTCGTGGTTTTACCTTTTTTTTCTTAAAAACGATTATTGTTATTATTATTATCATCGTCATTATTATTTATTTTTTAAAATTATTATTATTATTTTTATTATTATTATTATTATTATTATTATTATTAATATTATCATCGTCATCATCATCATCATCATCATCATCATCAGCAGCAGCAGCAGCAGCAGCAGCAGCCAGAGTATCATCAGCATCATCATCATCATCATCGTTACGATTAATATCATTATTATCATTATTATAACTGATATTAAAGGTCAGGATCTCGACCATTCGCGAAAGGGGCAATTTCCATAGCATTTGTTCTCCGTGAGCGCTGACGTATCTCACATCACAGCTGAAAGCGAGGTCAAAAAGTAATCAGCTTACAACTTACTGGCAGTACTGATTAATCCGAGCACACACGATACAGGGTCTAAGTACATATATCGTCCTTATCTCCCCTTCTTCTTTCCCATCAAACATCTATTGTCCTTATCTCCCCTTCTTCTTTCCCATCAAACATCTATCGTCCTTATCTCCCCTTCTTCTTTCCTATCAAACATCTATCGTCCTTATCTCCCCTTCTTCTTTCCCATCAAACATCTATCGTCCTTATCTCCCCTTCTTCTTTCCTATCAAACATTTATCGTCCTTATCTCCCCTTCTTCTTTCCCATCAAACATCTGTCGTCCTTATCTCCCCTTCTTCTTTCCCATCAAACATCTATCGTCCTTATCTCCCCTTCTTCTTTCCCATCAAACATCTATCGTCCTTATCTCCCCTTCTTCTTTCCCATCAAACATCTATCGTCCTTATCTCCCCTTCTTCTTTCCTATCAAACATCTATCGTCCTTATCTCCCCTTCTTTTTTATGTTTGTTACTCTCTTGTAACACCTCTAATCTTCTGGCACTCATATGCCCTTATGCAGTTGCGAGTGCCGTAAAACCTCTACTAAAACTAAAACACATTTTAAAAAGAAATTTTTGGGAGGGGGGGAGGGGTGTAGGGGGTAAATTTACTGTACTGACATTACGAAAGATTTTGTTAAGGGCGAATGATAAACTGGGCGCTCATAATATGACCTTTGCAGTTGCGAGCGTCGTAAAACCTCTAATAAAACTTTTTTTAAAACGAATGATAAAAACAAAATCCAAATGAAGGTTTTATTATGTAGGTGTCTTCTTGTTTAGTCAAGTAATAGTGTCAGACTCTCAGACTATTGGTCTTTCCGACCTT